GTTACCTTGAAGGTAGATGAGGATGCCTCATACGAAGAACGACCAGTTCAAATTTTAAATGTTCGGGAACAAGTGTCGAGGGGCAAGACTATACTGTTGCTAAATGTGTTATGGAGACACCATGGGGTTGAGGAAACAACTTAGGAAGGAAAGGCGGGGGTCCGCTCCAAGAATCAAGATTTATTTGCAAACACATAGTTTGTTCTAGATTGTAATTTTCTCTTGTGTTTGAGAATGAACCATTGAAATTACTATTGTTGTTGTTGTTGTTGTTGTTGTTTTTCCTTTTTTTTTTTTTTTTTTTAAGCATGAGAATTGTTGTAGGATTGTTACAGTTGCTGTTTGAACTTATGTTTATGATTTTTGTATTAATGGTTGTTGGTATTATGGCCTTAGCCCATGAAAATTTTGATGATGGTAGTGGAATATTATTGAGATTGAGTTGAGATTTCCATGCTATTATTGAGTTGTTATTATGGATTCTTATTGTCATTTGCATAGTTATTATCACTCGGAGCCCTTTTATTGTTAAATTGTCTTTATTCATTGGAGGTGTTGGGGGGAGATATGACCAAATTTGGGAAAATTCCCAAGGGAGGGAGATTGTGATGTCCCGGGTGTTGGACTTGACTAGTATTGTGTAGTAACATGGTGTGCTTTACTTGCAGTGATTTGTTTATCGTATTGGGTCGTTGAGAATTTTTTTCTGCTCTTACTTAACCTCCCTTAACATTTCCGAGTTAAAATTTTGAGTTTTGGGCATTGGAATTTGTTTTGAGATGCAAAATCAAATTCTGGGTTTTCTGGGCAAAATTCTCGTGCGAGTTTGGGTTTTGCTCGAGCAGATTTTCTGTGAAAAATTCAGTTTTCTCTGGAGCAAACCGCCTGTGGAGGCATTAGAATCCACTTGTGCGGGTTTGGGATTTTGCTTGTGCGGAATTCAAACCGCTCGTGTGGATTTTGGTGCGTCTATCTTGAAATTTGAGCTCTTTTCCTCAAAACTGATGCCAAAACATGTTTGAACACTTTTTCACTTCTCTCTCTCTCTCTCTCTCTCTCTCTCTCTATACTCATCTTTTCTCTTCTTTCTCTCTACAAACACATTCAAATCCAAACTTCTCTCTAAGATTTAGCTAAAATCTTCAAGAATTTGAGAGGGCTTTTTACACCAAATCGAAGAGGGCAACGAGGGCTACGTTTACACTGATTGAATCGAGTTTTCATCAACATTGAGTTTTAGGGTTTTCTTACATGTTTGGATCATGATTTTGCATTGATGAACTCTAGATGATATTAGAAGTGGATTTTCTCTGTTTTTTTCCAAAACTTTTGAGAGTATGAACTATGTTCTAAAGTGTGGTTGTTGTTTTGGAAAAATCTTTTCAAAAATGGAACAAAAACATAGTTTTGGTGAAACTCTGGAAATTTTGGATTTTGGGAAAGATGTTGAGTTATTGTGAAATTTATGCTTGATAAGTTGTTATGTGAATAAATGATTGAAGAAATTTCTATAGTTGTATCAAATAAGGAAATTTCATGAGAAAATTAGAATTGTTGATTTGGGAAACTTGAGGAAGAGCTTATTATTGTTTGTCTTGGAAAGACCAAATTTTAGCATGATGGTTAATATGTGAAGAATGCATAAATGATGGTATTGTTATATTATCTCTTGTAAAATGTATTATGATGTTACATTGATAAGAGATGTGAAAGTTTGATCACAATGGAGAATTGTGTGGTGGAGTTGATAATGAAACTATATTAATGCATTGTTACATTTTACATTACGATTCTATTTAATCATTGTTGCAATTGATTTTGAATTTTGTATTGGAAAATTATTGCTTTAAGAAAGAAATTGTTTCATAAAACAAGACCACCTTGAATTATTTTGGGGTAAATACATTGGTAAATCTAGATAGGAGGTGTAGTTTGGTATTGGTTAAGTTGGCCTGAGTGTCCATGTTAAAAAATCGAAAACACGCGCAGAGGAGGTACCACGTGCCTTCTAGTTAGCAACCGGTAAAGTGGCGATTGGTAGTGCTTGATATGCCTACTTGTAAACACCAACCTAGGAATTATGTGAGTCGTATTTACCACCCTTTAACTGCATTGAAGTTATTGAATTGTTGCGTTTTCAAATTGCATTGAGCACAAGATTTTCAAAAGATAGAGATATATGTTTTGAGCATGACATGGCATATGCATTCATCTCAGGAGACTGTATAAAATGTATATACTTTGTTAAGATCTTTCTACTGAGTTTTGTGTTTACCCTATGGTGATCCTGTCGAGTTAAAGGCATAGAATGTATTTTGAGAGCTCGAGATTCTTTTCTTTTGTTGTAATTATTTTTGACAAGCCAAGGGTTTACATGTATGGATTCGAAAACTATTTTTGTGTAACTGGGCTTAATTGTATTTGACTTATTGTACCACATACTATAGATTCATATTCTAAGAATGTTGAATGTATAATCGCATGTGAAGTATTTTTTTAGTAAATCTCTAGAGTTTAATGAATACAAACGTTAGAGATTGGTGATAATGTTAATGATGATGCTTTGTATTCCGTATACTTTAAGCAATGGAAGCTATTAATTTGGAAAACAAGATTATGTTGTTGGAAGATAATGAGCCTTTTGTGTTAATTTCTTTGGGAAGTTACGCGGACAATTGATATTCTATACAAATATCAAGAGATGTATTTGTAATTTATCTTTTTATTTATTATTTTTATCATTGAGTCATCATGTGATGTGTACTTTATTATTTTGACATTATATATGATCGGTATGAATTATTAAATGAATAGAATGGCCTAAAATATTTTTTTAAGTAATATTTTATAAAATTTAGTTAAAATTTTAAAAATATGTTACGATGTATGTATTCTAAAAATATGACGTAAATAAATATATATAATAATTTTATTTGAATTACTTATGAATATATCTATGTATATATGTGTATAAAATTATTTAAAAAATATATTGCGAAATATGCACTACAATCTTCACTCTACCGAACTATAAATGTGTATTTAAAATATGCAGACTATTATATATGTGAAGGCGTGTTGACATCTTATTTTTTAGATTTTTTCAAGATATCCCTATAGTAGTTACATGGCCAGTTATGTCCCAAATTCAATATATATATATATATATATTCAAATGTTGACATCTTATTTTTTAGATTTTTTCAAGATATCCCTATAGTAGTTACATGGCCAGTTATGTCCCAAATTCAATATATATATATATATATATATATTTTCAAATCTCTCAACTTCACGTGCTGTCACTTCTAGTATATCTACAAAGTGAACATAGAGAAGAAAGTGAGACTCGAACCTATGACCTTGGTTTGGTAAAGAAACTTTTACCACTTAAGTGGCATGATTTTGTTTTGTTTTGTTTTTTACTTATTTGAATAAGCCACTAGTACTATTATAAAGTAAAGGCTTCTCATGCTGTTGACACAAAACATCACATTTTGATTTTCAAAAATGCTCTTATACCCTATTTAAAATATAAAATTATATAGAAAGAAGACCAAAACCAAGACCTTCAATTTAGTAGAAGAGACCCTTACTACTTGAGTAGCACACAAGTTGTATGCTTTTAAATTTAAATCAAAATTTATATTTTTCAAATTTAACAACATACACGGGGTGAACAAACACCACTAGTATATATATATATATATATTGGCTCTGTTTGGGAAGTTTTGGTTTGGGCTTTTTTGACTAAAATAGTCACAAAAAAACAAAATAAGTTTTTTAGCCCAATAAGACAAAAAATTACATTCAACCTATAATCATTACATTCTTTCTCTTACAAAAAGTCAAAAAAGCCAAAAAAGTTCTTCCCAAATGAACCCATTATAAACACCACTAGTTTCGTCTATGTTTGTTTTGTAATATATATATAGAAATATATGATTCAAATTATATGTATATTTCAGGTTATTAGTTGTAAGATTAAAAAAAATTATTTTTTTTGTTAGATATAATATCCATTGGAATATAATCTGAATAATAAAATTTACAATCACACAATAAAATATGACTCAATCTTATGCTATAGTTCATCCAATTGTGGAAAAAACTTATTCTCTTATGTTATAATCAATTCTATTTTCCCTTGGCCTCCCATAATTTTGGGAAAAATTTTGCATAATTTAATGCAAAAATGTTATTTTGAAAAAGTGTCATATGGTATAGTGAAAATATTTTGTTCATGTAGTGATGATGTACATGTATACAGTTTTTAAAGAAAACTTCAACTTAACCAATGGAATTAGTTTAGGGGAAATCACACCAGTGAAATCTTTTTCAAAATAAATATTATTTCACAAAAAAAGTTTATAAGTTTAATTATTAAAATTTATAAAAAATTTCATTAATCTAAAATTACTTTTACAAATCTCCGCTGATTTGTTATTTCTTCATTAGTTTATTTGGTTATAACTTTGGTACCTTATTAGAAAGTTAGTAGTACGAATCTTTCTTCTTTTTTTTTTTTGATTAGTAAAAAGAAATTTTATTGATGAAGAAAACATACATTACATATGAGAATATATCAATAAAGAGATGGAAGTGCAAAGCGTATCAAAGCGACATTACCCTAATCTCAACTAGGTTGACACCAAGGAGAGTGCTCAATCATCTGCTAGTACAACCTCCTAAGGTTGGTGAGACACCAACACAATAGCAAGGAGAAAAAAAGGAAAACCACCCAACAACCTAACAGCCAATCCAGAACATACCACAACCAACACTACTACAAGCTGCAAACCAAAAATGGCCTAAATGCACTAGCAGCAAGATGGACACAGACAAAACAACAAACAGATCAAGGAGAGACAAGAAAGATTAGTACCACAAAACCAGCCAAAACAAGAAAACAACACACCACTCTTCAAGGTCCACCCCTCACAGCCCACTACCCATGATTTAGCTAAACAGTAACCTCAGCCAAGGCAGACTATAACCTGTTAAAGATGATGAACAATCTCATTGACTGAGTATACCACAGCTGGGCAAGAGGATTTGATCGACAATGCAATCCTCACCTTGATGGAATCACACAAACTCACAACATCAGCCTAAGCACTTTTGAAAAGACAGTCATTCCTCTGCTTCCATATGGACCAGAACACAACCAAAGGAACAACATTCCAGATTAACTTTAGCTGCTTAGATAATTTCTAACCTTGCTACCAATTGAGTAGACTGCTCACAGACCTAGGTGTTACCCAAAGAATACCCCGCTATTTGATAATATTAAACCAGATCCTCCAGGTAAAAGGACAAAGCAACAGCAGATGGTTACCACTTTCCACCTCCCCATTACAAAAAATACAATTCATAGTTGATCCAGCATTTAGAACACCAAATTTTTGCAGATAGCTAGAAGACTTGACTCTCCCTTTCCAGGCTAACCAACCAAAAAATTGAACCTTGGGAGGAGATACATTCTTCCAAATGAACTCAGCAGTCTTTCTATTAGCTCCATGACCCAATTCACTCCATCCATAAGCTGATGTAACCGAGAAAGACCCTGAGGCAACTGCAATCCAACTCAATATATCCCTCCTACCTTCCCTGAGAGCTGGAGCATTAAGTAACATTGTATTCATTCTCCTCAACTCCTCCACCTCCCACTGAAACAAAGACCTTCTGAAATTCAGATTCCAAGCCTCAGCATCAGCTCTTCTGCTATACACCAAGTCCACAAATTCATCATTTCCCATTGTTACAGAATATAATCTAGGGAATACATCTTTCAAACAAACATTTCCAAACCATTTATCCTTCCAGAAAAGTGTTCTCTTTCCATCTCCAATAACCAGGGCTATGCTATTTTTAAAAAACTCCACTAGATCAGGCCTACCCGAAGCAAGCCCCAATATATCTTTCCAGATCAAAGTGCACCTGAGATGTTCCACAGGTTCAGGCCACCATCCCCTCCCAACCTCATTAAACTTGCCACATATCACCTGCTTCCATAGGGCTTTTTCTTTAGCTCCAAACCTCCATCACCATTTTAAGAGAAGGCAATCATTCATAAGCTTGATCCTTTTAACTCCTAAGCCCCCTTGACTTTTACTTTTTGAAATCTCCTCCCACTTTACCAAATGAATCTTTCTTCTAAGTTCATCACCTCTCCATAAGAATCTAGACTGAACTCTGTCAATTTCTTTTGTAACCCCTTCTGGCATCCTGAACAAAGATAAGTAGTAGATTGGTAAACTAAACAGCACTGATTTTATCAGTGTTAATCTCCCTGCAAAGGATAAGAATATCCTCTTCCAAGAAGCTAGCTTTTGTTTTCACTTATCAATCACAGGTTGCCAGAACCTTCTTCTCCTTGGACAATCCCCCAATGACATCCCCAAGTATTTTAAAGGTAGATTTTGATGTAAGCAGTTTAGTTTGTCATGAAATCCTTTAGTGAGGTCCTCACTAATGCCAATCCCACACACCACACTCTTATGGTAATTAATTTTCAGTCCTAAAAGCATTTCAAAACATCTTAGAATCCTCTTAACATTCCCAATCTCCTTCCATTCTGCCTCACAAAATAATATTGTATCATTTGCAAATTGAAGATGGGTGATCACAAGATCATTTGAGCCAACCACAGCCCCTCCAATCAATCCCATTTGTAGAGCTCTACCCAAAAGGATATTCAGACCTTCAGCTATGACATTGAAAAGAAATAGTGATAATGGATCACCTTGCCTAAGACCCCTTTGAGGAGTGAACTCAGATGTTGGTGATCCATTGACTAATACAGAAACTTTGGCTGAAAGTACATACTCTCTCATCCAACTGATCTATTTGGTGCCAAACCCAAAATTTGCGAGCATAGAGTAGAGGAACTCCCAGTTAATTGACTCATAGGCTTTCTCAAAGTCAAGTTTTAATACAATGCCTTTCCTATGCTTCTTCTTCCAACCGTCAACTATTTCATTTGCAATCAACACACCATCCAAAATACTTCTACCTCCAATGAAGGCTGATTGAGAATCACTAATGATCTTTGGCATTACATTCTTGATCCTATCAGACAAGACCTTTGCAAGAATTTTATACAAAGAGCCGAGGAGGCTAATAGGCCAATAATCATTCAGACAAGAAGGATTATCAGATTTTGGAATCAAAGCAACAAAGGAACTATTAATTCCATGACCCAACTTAGAGTTTTTGTGGAAATCTTTCATGAATTGAATCACATCCCCCTTAACAATCTGCCAACATTTCTTAAATAACATTAAATTAAAAGTTGTCTATTTGTTGATATTTTTCCTTTTTCTAATTTAGTTTATATATATATAAACACTTAAGCCAAGAGACATATTAGGCATAGCAACAAAGGAACTATTAATTCCATGACCCAACTTAGAGTTTTTGTGGAAATCTTTCATGAATTGAATCACATCCCCCTTAACAATCTGCCAACATTTCTTAAATAACATCAAATTAAAACTTGTCTATTTGTTGATATTTTTTCTTTTTCTAATTTAGATATATATAAACACTTAAGCCAAGAGACATATTAGGCATTGATTTTCTCTATCTTACTCAGATTTGTTTTATATATATATATATATATATGTTTTTTAAACTTGTTATGTGTCCAGATACATATTAACATGATTGTACACTTGATATATGAATTTATTAAATAATTTTTGATGGTTTTTTCCCTATCATATTCATAATTTAATGTAAATATTAAAGTTTTCTTTTATTTTTTAATTATATTTTTGTATAAATTATTTTATTAAATTTTTTTTGGCCCCTTAAATAAAATTAAAATTTTCAACATATTTCAGGTAAATAGATGATTAGTGTCGAACTCTTAGATGCTAACATGTACGAGCTGATTCTTAATGCAGTAGGATAAATAGAAATGAAGAGTAGAAGCTGGTTTTCAGGAGAGCCTTGTTTCAATGGGAACTAGAAGATTTGAGGAGACTGAGAATAATGCTTTTTAATGCTCCAGCTATTCGAGATGGGATGGTGGACAGGTTGAAATGGAATGCAAAAAATTCTGGGGTTTTTACTGTGACTTCTGCCTATAAGTGGAATGCAGCATCTGTTGAAGCTAGCAGTAACTTAGTAGGGTGTATATGGAAGAATTTGGCTCCACCTAAGATGCAGTTCTTTGGGTAGTTAGCATGGAAAAAGAGAATAAAGACAGCTAGCTATCTTCAAAGACTAGGTGTCCTTACTGCTGCTTCAGACATTAATTGTATTTTCTGCAGGGATGAAGTAGAAGATATAAATCATGTGCTGCTGTCTTGCCCATTTATTTGGAGGATTTGGTCAAATATTATCAGTTGGTGGGGTGTGTATTGGGCAATGCCTGGATCCGTGTCTGGATTATTGCAGTGGTGGATTGGTTTAAAACTAAAAAAAGAGTTACCCATCTGGAAAGCTATACCATTGACGGGGTTTTGGTCTATTTGGAAGCAGAGGAATGAAAGCATTTTTAAGGGCTCACGCGGTGAATTTTGAAGGGCTATGTGATTCTATCAAGGTCAGGGTTGCTTTATGGGTCAGAGCTTCTAACCCATCTTTTGCTTACTCAATTAATGATATTGTGTATAATCTCAAGCATGTTAGATCATGTCGGAAGGGCTGATTTGGTCTGCTTTTGATTTTCCTGGGGCTTTTGTGTTTTTGCCTTGCTGCTGTATGGTGTGCACTCACCCAACTTTGCACAGCTGAGTATTCTGCAGCCCGAGTACCATCAGTACTGCATCTGGTGCATTCTGCAGCCCAAGTTTCATCGACTAATCAAAGAGTTAATTAAAGAGATTTGATCATCTGCTGCTCTCAAGTGTGTCCTGCAGCTGATCTGATTGTTGGACTGATTTGTACTGCATCTGTGCTCTCAATTCATGCTGGTTCTGAAGCTGTTGAAGAGGCTTGAGTATGTGTCTCTAGGCTATTCTGCAGCCCAAGTTCCAGAATATGTGTTTTTCTTAGAATATGTGTTTTTCTGATTCTGCATTCTGGGGCTGATCTGGTGCCAAAGGACTCTGTCACTGTGGTGCTCTCTAGTGTGTCTTGGGCTAAATCTGTTTTGTTTGTGTCCTGCATCTGGGCTAAATCTGCTTTGATTGGCAGTGCAGATGGATATCTAGATTGTTATTTGAAGCTCTAGTCCTGCCATGCTTGGTATGCTATGTTGGTTGTGAGTAGACTATTGTGTTTAGTTGGGAGTCATCCTAACAATTGCTTCAATTATGGAGTGTGGCATACAGTTTGAGGATGCATAGTCTTGGTGTTTGTTGAAGGTGTGTTGGTGATTGTTGCTGGTCTGTATGATGCTCTATATGAATAGGTTATTGGTCTGTATGCCTGCTGGTTGCTGTGGTCTGTTATGTTCATTCTACCTTGGTGTTTGTTGGCTGTGTGGTTCATTCTCTCCTGGTGCTCTGGTGCTCATGCTGTAACTTAATAGATTGACTTATTTGCGATGAAAGTGTGCTATTGCTAATGCTTATGCTGCTGTGGAGCTGGTCTGTTTTTGGGTGATGTTTCGGTCTGTGCTGTGGAGTTTGCCGCTATCTGTGCTGGTTTGGTTTTTGGATGCTTCAATTTTGTTTTGTTTTGTTGCTGCGAGTGTTTTACTTGTTTTGTTTCTGCTCTGTACGTTGGTTACTCACCAACTTGGAGCTTGGAGTTAGTGTTAGCAAATGATTTGGTGTGTATCTAGGTGCCAACCTAATTGGGATCTTAATGTTTCACTTTGATGCTCTTTGCACCCTCCTCTTTATTGATGTACATTATCATACTTTGTATGTTTTCTTCATCAATAAAACTTCTTTTTGCTGATAAAAATATATATATATATATAACATATAAGAGCTTTAGATTCAAAAATAAAATTTTATTGCAAAAAATATTGGGGAACCAATTTTTGTCATCATAAGAGTCGTGAGTAAAACATCATCCCAAAAATAAATATAAAAACAAAAACAAAATAACCTTTAGTGACTTTTTAATTATATTTTTGTATAAATTATTTTATTAAATTTTTCTTGGCCCCTTAAATAAAATTAAAATTTTCAACATATTTTAGGTAAATAGATGATTAGTGTCGGACTCTTAGATGCTAACATATAAGAGCTGATTCTTAATGCAGTAGGAGAAATAGAAATGAAGAGTGGAAGCTGGTTTTCAGGAGAGCCTTGTTTCAGTGGGAACTAGAAGATTTGAGGAGACTGAGAATAATGCTTCTTAATGCTCTAGCTATTCGGGATGGGATGGTGGACAGGTTGAAATGGAATGTAGAAAATTCTAGGGTTTTTACTGTGACTTCTGCCTATAAGTGGAATGCAGCATCTGTTGAGGCTAGTAGTAACTTAGTAGGGTGTATATGGAAGAATTTGGCTCCACCTAAGGTGCAGTTCTTTGGGTGCTTAGCATGGAAAGAGAGAATAAAGACAGCCAGATATCTTCAAAGGCTAGGTGTCCTTACTGCTGCTTCAGACATTAACTGTATTTTCTGCAGGGATGAAGAAGAAGATATAAATCATGTGCTGCTGTCTTGCCCATTTATTTGGAGGATTTGATCAAATATTATCAGTTGGTGGGGTATGTATTGGGCAATGCCTGGATCCGTTTCTGGATTATTGCAATGGTGGATTGGTTTAAAACTAAAAAAAAATCCTTACTGCTGCTTCAGACATTAACTGTATTTTCTGCAGGGATGAAGAAGAAGATATAAATCATGTGCTGCTGTCTTGCCCATTTATTTGGAGGATTTGATCAAATATTATCAGTTGGTGGGGTATGTATTGGGCAATGCCTGGATCCGTGTCTGGATTATTGCAATGATGGATTGGTTTAAAACTAAAAAAAAAGGAGTTACCCATCTGGAAAGCTATACCATTGGCGGTGTTTTGGTCTATTTGAAAGCAGAGGAATGAAAGCATTTTTAAGGGCTCGCCGGTGAATTTTGAAGGGCTATGTGATTCTATCAAGCTCAGGGTTGCTTTATGGGTCAGAACTTCTAACCCATCTTTTGCTTACTCAATTAATGATATTGTGTATAATCTCAAGCAAGTTAGATTATGTCTGAGGGATTGATTTGGTCTGGTTTTGATTTTCCTGGGGCTTTTGTGTTTTTTCCTTGCTGTTGTATGGTGTGCACTCACCCAACTTTGCACAGCTGAGTATTCTGTAGCCCAAGTTCCATCAGTACTGTATCTGGTGCATTCTGCAGCCCAAGCTCCATCTACTAATCAAAGAGTTAATTAAAGAGATTTGATCATATGCTGTTCTCAAGTGTGTCCTGCAGCTGATCTGATTGTTGGACTGATCTGTACTGCATCTGTGCTCTCAATTCATGCTAGTTCTGAAGCTGTTGAAGAGGCTTGAGTAAGTGTCTCTAGGCTATTCTGCAGCCCAAGTTCCAGAATATGTGTTTTTCTGCTTCTACTCTAATCAAAGTTTAGAATATGTGTTTTTCTAATTCTGCATTCTGGGGCAGATCTGGGCTGATCTGGTGCCAAAGGACTCTGTCATTGTGGTGCTCTCTAGTGTGTCTTGGGTTGAATTTGTTCTGTTTGTGTCCTGCATCTGGGCTGAATCTGCTTTGATTGGCAGTGCAAATGGGTATCTAGATTGTTATTTGAAGCTCTAGTCCTACTATGCTTGGTATGCTATGTTGGTTGTGGGTAGGCTGTTGTGTTTAGTTGGGAGTCATCCTAACAGCCGCTTCAGTTATGGAATGTGGCATACAGTTTGAGGATGCATAGTCTTGGTGTTTGTTGAAGGTGTGTTGGTGATTGTTGCTGGTTTGTATGAT